AAATAATTTCCGTGTAAATTTCCAATACTATTTCCAACTAAACTGCGCGCCAACGAATTGTCGGTCTTGAAACACAGCTTCTTCGTTAGAACCGTAAATTGACTTAAATAAATCGCAAATCGATTTAATTTTTGATGCTGATACAAATCGTATCTAACATTTTCCTTCCCCCGAATATTACTGTAAAAAATTTATTGCGAAAAAATATTATCTCAGTCAGGGTTTTTTTGCAATAAATTCTTTACAGTAATATTCGGGGGAAGGGGGATGTTAGATACGATTTGTATCAGCATAAAAAATTAAATCGATTTGCGATTTATTTAAGTCAATTTACTGTTCTAACGAAGAAGCTGTGTTTCAAGACCGACAATTCGTTGGCGCGCAGTTTAGTTGGAAATAGTATTGGAAATTCACACGAAAATTATTTGCTACTTAGATCCTAGCTCGGACTTGATGGCGTTCTTATATTAAATTGATTTTAAATCTTAGAATCCTATTACTATTATTATTACCCTGATGGAAATATTTTACTGAATATAATGGAATTTTACTGAAATTCTGTCTCAATTGACCCAGATGAAAATATTTTGCTGAAAGTATGAAATTGATGATAAATGAAATGAAAGTTATTAAAAAATTACTGAATATATTTCAAAATAAATCATAATTTTCTTTATGAAATTTAATGTAAATACTGTGAAATATAAGAAAAATTAAATTATACTGTTGAAAAATAATAAAACTGAATCCTTGCTCGTTCAGTCGCTTTTTGGAATTGAAGCATAGGAGCCTTCGTTAATTTGAGAATTTAGCTGATGCTAATTCGAGTTTATAAGACTATAAGTCTACTTTTTGTTGAAAATTACTACTTTTTTATGTCACAGTTTTAAAGAATTCGATTTTTACTTAATTTATAGATTTTTTACTACTTGACTATTATTACACAGCTTGACTTCGGAAAATTTTTTGACACGCAATGATTAACCCTCCGAGAACACACCTATTTTTTCAATCACGGAGAACACTCAGGGTCAATCTGACCCTACACAACTCTGATCGCACTCGTCAATTTAAAATGGTGGACGATCAAAGTGTGTGTAAGGTCAGATTAACCCAGAGTGTTCTCTTGAAAAAAGTTTCTTTAAAAAAAAATTTTTTTTATTTTTTTTATTTTTAATATTTTTGGCTAAAAATTTTTTTGGCAAAAAAAACAGAGTCAAATTGACCCTTTGTGTTCTCGGAGGGTTAAGGCCGTTCGCTCCACATTTTTCAGCCTTCTAACACGATTTATCTCGCCATTAAACGAATAATTATTTTTTAAGTTTTAAAAAATTGTTAACAACTCTCTAATTAAATTTATAGTTTGACCACGCATACATTTCGACTATTTGTTAATCGGTTTTTTGGGCTTTTAACTTGATGTGGCTTCTTAATAACTCCATGTAATTTGTATACTATAATTATTAATATTAAGAAAGTAAAAACGACCGCTACGATTTAAATCAATAGAAAGGATAAATTCTATAATAAAAATGCTATAATTATTAATTAATGTTAATTTTATGATGTTAAACTTTCTTTTAATTTATTTTATCTCTCGACGGATTTTTTATGTAACGGGATTATTATGATAATGTATTACAGTTAATTAGACGGATTTATTTTATTGATTGAAAAAGTCTCTGTAAAGCACGAAACGTCCCAGTTATTTTGACGGAATATTAAACTATATTATTTAGAATCATGTTGTTCGGTTATTGGCTCTTGTTTTATCTAAGACATACGAGCTTTATTTACTTATATATTTTTTAATTTATACATATTAAAATTATTGCAATGTTAAAAAAAACAAATTTTTTACATTATCTCATGACGAAAGAGACCATCACCTTTTCGCGGTTTCCGTTGAGCAACAATATCTACGTAATCTATTCGTAAAAGTGAAATACACATAACTGCTGTGATTGCAAAAATTTGTCCTTTAATTTTACTATATGTATTTTACAAGACATAATAACTTGTGCCAATGTCAAATAATTAATGAAATAAAATTTCTTAAAGTTTCCATGTGCGTAATCTATCGAGCCGGTAGAAGCAATTTTCTAATAGTAAACGTGGACGAGCGAGTAAGACGATCGGCTAGAATGATGAAGTTCTCAAGTTCGAATCCTGGTTTTTTTCTAACTTTTTTTGCATTTTTATTTTTTTAGGCAAATGAGTTTTTATGTAATACATATAAACAAGGAAAATTATTTGACAATCATTAAAATTATTCGCATATTTTCTAACAACTTTAGGAAAGTTAACGATTTGCTCATAAAAAAATAAAAAATTATTTTTAAATTACAAAATAAGTTTTCTTTATTATTGTATAATAACAATAGTATTGTTCATTAATCCTCGGTCTCGGCTTCATATAATATATATATATATATATGTATATATATATATATATATATATCAATAAATATCATAAGTAATTAATAAGTGCGACAAGACCTAGGTGCGCGCGCGCGCGCGCGCGAGCGCCGAGATATTAACAAGAAGCCTAGCACGATTCTCGCCGGCTCGGCTGACCGAGCATCGAGCATCTGACATCACCGCTGAAATCTGGCATCACTGCAAAATTAGTCCGGATTCGCACCAGGGGCAAAGTCTGTAGGTAAAATCGGGTATATTTAGTCCAGACTCGCACCAGGGGCAAAGTCTGTAATGTGATTTAGTCCGGACTCAATCCTAGGGGCAAAGTCTGTCGGTAAGGGGCAAAGTGTGTCGGTAATCAAAACACGGAAATGCTGGTCTCGACTTTTGAGGGGCCATTGGCTATCTGTCTATTAATCTGTGCTATTAGCGCTACCTAGCGCTACTGGCTGTTTGCGGAGCTCTATGATAGCGCTACCAAACGCTGTCGTGACGTCATTACTGGTAGTGTTAACGTCATAACTGCTCGCTACCAACGCTCTTCCTTCCGAGGTAGTGCATTAATAGCGTTAGCGTTTACAGGCTCTATGAACAGCGCAATAGTGAATGGTAGTGAATTGCGGCCCGGCGGCGTTTGAAGCAAAATAACTTGGCGGCGGCAAAGTTTGCCGATAATTTTCTCTTTCAGCGGCGGCGGAATTGGCGGGTGATAATTTATCAGCGGCGACGGCGAACGGCGGCGAATACATTTTTTTAACAATTTTAACTTTTCATAAATAATATGAACAAAAATAGCAAACAATAAATACTCAGCACTTGTTTTCAAAATACGATCACTTTATTAGCATCACTAATATCTTTTCTTTCACAAAAAAAAAATTTATCTTAAAATGTTATTCCTGACCATCATACGTAACAAAAATAAAATGTAATTCACTGTATAACCATCAGATATCAGACTTCTTGCTGTCTTACTTATTAAAAATTTCTTCACATATTAAGTTGTATAAATAATATGAATAATATAACTTATACTTAATGTAAAACTTATTTTACTGACTTTAAATACATATCTTTTATTAATTTGAAATCATTATCGAGAATAAATAATATTTTATTAGATTTTGATTATTTTAACGAAGAACGTTTTGCTGTGATAAGCAAACCTGCAGAAGAAAATGCGCGTTCAGATGCTGAACTTGTAATCGGTATGGCATAAATGCAGCATACCAATTTGTACAAATTCGGCAGTGACAACTTCATTTTATTCTACCATTGTAGAGGATCTTCGATAATAGATTCTGACATATGTAAATACTTTTTAACTTGGACAAGAATAGGATGGAATAATACTTGTATGTTTCGCAGCTAACTCCAATCGTAATTTTTTAACTTCAAGAAGCTCACACGACTTATTAAAATAATCTGCTTTTTTATTAGATGCCATATTATGAAAAAGTAAAACTAAACGTGAGAATCTAACTTATTATATATATCATAAAAATAATAATCTTATATTTGGTGATTAATATAGAAGCTGTTGCAATATAAACTATGTAAGACTTAAATATATACTACGCTTAATTACAATATTAAGCCTAGATTTTGTAAATCTAGCTACTGTAAATTACCTAGACTAGGTATTGCTTGTTGTTAGATATCTATATATAGTTTAGTGGACAAAATTCATATACACTAATTTTTTTATTGTATTAAAAGTATAAATTAATTTTATATAGCATATAATCAAATAGTACCAAATATGAATATATTATTAAAAAATATATTTAATTATATTTCTCATTTTATATATAAAAACAATGTCATTCAATTGGACAATAAGTTTTACTAGAACAAAAATATTTGTTAAAATTATATGATCTAATCTAAAACGTCGCTTAATGTTAATAAATAAAATATAAAAATAATCTAACCTGCTCATTTTTAATATTCAGGGGAACATTTCTAATATTCAGGGGAACATTTTGTGGATCATATATATTAAAAATTCCTTAGGAGATTGCTGCTTGTCTGCGAGATATTCAGCAACACCTCTAACACTTTGAAGAGTCGGATCCAGAAGTGCTCCGCAAACATGAGTTTCATGAATTTAAAATCGCTTTTTTATATTTTGTAAAATAGTTTAAGTTGTTTTACTACAAATGAATCGTATTCATTTACACACATACTACTCTCAACTTCTGCCCTGAAAATATTAAAGAAGTAATTGATACAACACACAGCATCTATTAACTCAGCTTTTTAAATTTGGCGGCGCAGGGCCTACGAAACGCTACGTTAGTACACGCTACTGCTGTTCATGGAGCTCGCATTCGCTAGCGCTATCATGGCTCCATGAACAAAGTTAATAGCGTTATGGCTCCTGCACACAGGACGCGGCAGCGCGACAATGCGGCAACGCGGCAACGCGGTGACCAATCACCATCTGCCTTTCCGTACTACTTTCAGAAGTAGAACGGAAAGGCAAGACGGTAATTGGTTACCGCGGTGCCGCGTTGCCGCATTGCCGCGCTGCCGCGTTCTGTGTGCAGGAGCCATTAGCGTTGGTAGCGCGGTAGCGAGCTCCCCGAACGCACCCAGATTTTCTAACCTGAATAGTCGTCAACTGTAACGATTTAATATCTCGCGAGGCAAACCGCCGCGTAACTGCCAGATTCTTTCATTTTGTGTAAAAACGCGTCGATTGAACATAATTTCATCTATATTCGCGTTCAGTCCCGTATTCTAAATAAATACTATTTAATTATGATGTACGAAAGGAATTGAAATCACATTTATCGCATAATTCGTCCGGAAATATTTCAGAAAAGTACCTAATTTATTTATATCTATTACAATGACAAATCAGCGACCAGTTTCTTGCGGGTTGGATTTTTGCTGTGCGGTAAATCTAAGTGATTGTTTAATTTATGCAAATGACTCCAAGTAAGCTGTTACTAATTATATATATTTAATTATTATGCTTTTGGTATATGTATTTATATTTAACGCAATCTGCACACGCTATTTGTGCTTTTATTCATACTTCAGATATGATTTTGTTTGCGTCCCCTTGGTTCATCCTTTATTTAAAAGAGAATTTATCTCTGGACCTGCCAAAAATCGTCCAGGACCATTTACTAGGCCTGACTTAATTTTATCAAGTTCAGGTATAAATTAAGTATAAACATGTATATATTTGAATTAATTATATCAATACTTGAAATAAATAAGTTAGTTTAAGATAAATCTATAATATTATTTTGTAGATTGGAATAATTTAATAATTGGGAAGTTTTCGCCACTTATCAATGTTGACTCGATTGATCCAGTCGTCAGAAAAAATAGTGAAGAAACCTTAAATCAGGAATTATGCTTAGCTAGCCACTTTGGTTTGTCAGGAGTGACTTTTAAATTAAGATGTGGGGTAGATAAAAATATGAATCTTGCCAGGATTATTTCTGATAAAGTAAACAAAGATAACTGTACCTTCCAGGTAACACATACAATACAATTATAATTTTTAGTATTAATTTTTATAAATTAAGAGATGCTTGACAAACAGTAAAAAATATACTTAATACTTATACTGTTAAAAATGAACATTTTAGGATAGGAATGTCATTTACATTTAAAAACTAAATATGTTTATCAATATAGAATTTTAATTTTTTATTTATAAACTGTAGGATTAGATATGGGTTTGAGATTATCAAAACATTCTGTTGATTATAGGTATGGATACAAGTTCCTATGGAGAATCCAATTAGGCAAACCTATTCTTACAGAACAGAGGATTGCCCAGTAGAAGAAAATCCATGGGAATGGTGGAATGTCTTTAGAGTAATATGTGATTACAATAAAAGATTAGGAATTGCATTAATTGTCAGTCATGACCTGCCTGAAGAGGAAGAGGTAACTTATGGCTCCTGTACACAGGACGCGGGACAATGCGGCAAAACGGCAAAGCGGTGACCAATCACCGTTTTATAATCAGTCAATTATACAATATATATTACTTCCGGAAAAGCAAGACAATAATTTGTCACCGCTTTGCCGCGTCCTGTGTGCAGGAGCCATTAAAGATAAGTTTATAATTTAACTATAGAGTACCACACTTCCTACGAGTCCCGATTTTATCACACTGGGTGTACGATACCCAGTGTACTTTCAATTATTAATAACTTTTTGAAAAATCGATATTTTTAAACATGTTTCTAGGTTTTTTTAAATTTAAACGGCAGAATGTCAGAAACGCGTCTGTGTCATAATTGCGATTAACATTTAAAGACAAAAATTAATTTCGGAAAAAACCCGAATAGAAATTTTCTGACTCACAAAAAGCGCTATTTGGTTCCAAAAATTACTTTTTTTTTAACGCTGTATTGTAAAAAGACTAGTCATTTGTTGAAGGTAAAGGATGTAATTTTTCAAAAAGAAATAAGAAATAATGATTTCTTTAAAAAATATATTGTTTTGACGTGACAAAAGTTGACTATGACACTAAAGCACTTACACCACACATAGGTATAGCACATTCAATATTGTTTTTAAGGCTCCTGGGCTTTCGCCACGGTCATGTGAGATCATGACGTCAGAGGTGAGAAATAACACGCTGAGAAGTTTTGTGTTACATTTATTTTACGGATGTTTATTAACTGTCAAGGGAAAAGGATAGACCTCAGAGTATTTTTGAAGTGTGCTGAAATGATCTGAAGTGTTATTTTATGCAAATATAATAGCTTTTTATTTGGAAATGGCACACAAGAATTCTTAACGTGTCATTTCTCGCCTCTGACACGCTACGTCACGAACTAACACGATCGCGGCGAGTACTCAGGAGCCTTAATGGCATGTCATACATCTATTAAACGGCAGATGAGGCTGCGCAGCATGGGGAGTCATAGAGGGGGAACAAAAGTTCATTTACCTTACTTTACCACTTCGATTCCTTAACTTTCACTATATGTATAGAAACGGCGGGAATTTTAATAACAAATGTGAGTGTGTTACACTCACAATCAGTGTGATGTTCTACGGTTAAAATTGTGCAATATGAATGTGATATGTATAAACTTACAATTTGAGTTTTAATTTATAAGATTGATAGATGGCTCGGAGAACCAGTGAGATGTTTGATTTTGCCGACAACGTTATTTCTAACAAATAAAAAAGGATATCCGGTACTAAGTAAAGCACACCAAGTATTAGTAAAGAGATTTGCTGTGTTAGAAGTACAATTTATTTTAACAGGCGCATCACGTTACCAAAGTATTAGCTACTATCATAACTACCTTGATTACCTGTGGAAGGTAAAACTGAAGAGATGATACAAATTATCAAAAGATGAATTCTTTCTTTATAACAACTTTGTTGAATGTAGGAAATAATGTCTTTATTTTTTCAGGGATGCCAAAGTGATGGAACAGTGGAAAGATTCGCTCGAGGATATGAGGATTATCTGCAATGTCCATTACAGCCTCTAATGGATAATCTGGAGTCACAAACTTATGAAATATTTGAGAAGGATCCCGTAAAGTATCGAGAATATCAGAGTGCTATATACGAAGCTATTAAAGCAATATCCAAGATGGAAGAGGAGGAAAGGACGATGTAAGTCGAATCATTATAAGGTAATATACGTAATTAATAATATACGTATAACAATTATAAATTTTTAGAGTTATTATGGTAGTTGGTGCTGGAAGAGGGCCGCTTGTAACCGCATCTCTGAATGCCGCAGAAATGGCCTATCGAGAAGTAAAAATATATGCAGTGGAGAAAAATCCTAATGCCGTGATAACGTGAGATTATTTTAAAATATAACAATTATATTGGATTGGATAAAAAATCCTAATTTTTTTAATAGGATGATTTTTATTAAGTGTAATATAATTATATCAATGAGAAGAAAAATTAAGCCAAAAATAACAAAAAGTAGTCGGGAGAAAAAAGATTAGCGATCTTTTATTTAATAAAATATTGATTTTATATAAAACTTGTTTTTGAATTTTTTTTGAAAAAAATAAATTGGGACATTTTTTGTCCAATATTATATTACATTTTATATGATTATAAATTATATATTCATTAATTTCATCATCTATATTTACAGTTTACAGGCCCTTCAGAGAGATATGTGGAAAGAAAAAGTTACAGTAGTATCGTGTGATATGAGAGAATGGAATCCCCCAGAAAAAGCTGATATTATTGTGTCTGAATTACTCGGATCCTTTGGCGATAACGAATTATCTCCTGAATGTCTAGATAATGTCCTCAAGTTCTTAAGAGGTTCGCATTACATGCCAAATTACATAAATTATATAAATAGCATTAATCATTTTTTTAATACTTATTTGAAATTTTTAGACGACGGAATTAACATACCGCAATCATATACTTCATACATAGCTCCTATGCAATCCTCTAAACTGTACAATGAAGTAAGGCAACTTAGAGATAAAGATAAACATCCGATGACTCACTTTGAAACTCCATATGTAGTACATCTTCAAAACAAATACGACATAGCAAATCCAAAACCACTTTTTACATTCAAACATCCGAATACAGGTTTGTATAAAGTATCCAATTATTTATATTTTAATTATTTTAATTTCCTTACACATTTGTATCTTTTTAGACGCTGTTACTGACAATTCGAGATATGAAACCAAAACTTTCCAAGTGGAACAGAATTGCGTATTACATGGATTTTCAGGATATTTTACAGCAGTTTTATATGGAAACATCACATTAAGCATAGAGCCTAGCACATATAGCCCAGATATGTTTAGTTGGTTCCCAATCTTTTTTCCACTTAAGGTATATAATAAAAATAATTTTTTCTTTTTAAGGTATACTTGTAAAATAGAAATCTTGAGATAAGATAAAAATATTTATCGATACAGGAACCAATACAATTGAAAGCAGAAGATGAAATAGTGGTTCATTTCTGGCGCAGATGTGGTTCTAAGAAAGTGTGGTACGAATGGTGTCTTAGCAAACCCATCCCAGTCTCAATCCATAATTCAACTGGACGTTCTTCCATTATCGGATTATAATGTAACGATTCCGTGTTTATTCCTTGTTTGTTTAAGATCTTTCTGATAATGTATGCAATATCATAATTAGGTTATCAAGTATCAATTATTATAGGTAGTATACTTAAATTTTCTAAAGAATAGTATTTACTCCGAATATTTTTCGTATTTTTGCATTAATTTTATTTGACATTTGTAAGCTTGATGCATTAATGTAAACAAGATTAGAATTCAATTTGACATAGAACTTGATATAATGTAGAATATAAATTTTTTTATTTACATATGTATATATATGTGAGTGACGCGACAAAAGTTTCTGAAACAAATGTTTATTCGTTTGTTTTACTTGTGGTATTATATGTACATACGCCTGAGATCAAAAGACGCGGTAGCGTCTCGCACCAAGTTTACGCATATATAAGTATATTGGAGTGTGCATTGGCTTGGCTGATGTGAGGCGAGAGAGAGAGAGGTAATATAGCATGGTGTCTTTGTCATACAATTTGTATGACAGACAACTGCGGGATACGTACATGCATCTTGTATAACAGAGAAAAACAGAGATCCCAAAACATTATCTATTTTCTGATAATTTTTCGTCCATGGGCGTAGTATGGCAGTGCACACTCCAGTATACTTATATCTCAGTGTATTGTAAAGTACTCGGATTGTATATTTTTTATCATCCGATATTTATTTAGCATCAGGTAATAGTCATTAACAGCGTAAAACGATAAAGAATAAAGAGAAGTATATTCGTGTGAAAGATACGATATATAAATATTTGCTTTATTGCAAATATTTTTTTTATGTACTGTAACTGTAGATCTTAATATGACGCTGATGTCTGAGGTCACTGATATTCAATGAGGTCATTGATATTATATGTAGAATTTTGATAACATGTATTACGAGATGTTCTCGAAGCGTACTGTTACTGTCTTCTTAAACTCACGTGATTTGAAAAACGTCTAAATTCTACATATTGTAAGATTGATATTGAACCAAATGTTGTCCATATAACAATAATCCTGAATATAAATATGTACACTTTACAATAAATTTCTACTTATTGACAAATGACTTCAAATTTTTTATATAAATCCCTCTGATTTATTTAATAAAAGAAATTATTATAATTCTATACTATAATTGTACACATCCACAGATATAATAATATTGCAATTCATGAAATCAACATGGAGGACAACAAACGAAAAAAATATTACCGCTTATAACTTAAAACTTAAAATATGGAAAGTCTATCTGTTCTCATTTAATTCTAGTGTATAAAACCAGAGAATACTAAATAACAAACTATCTTCTAATAACAAACAACTAATGAAATAAGTAATTTAAAGAGAATTATATATCAATTAAATGCTAACACTTTAGATAAAAAATCTATGAAATGAAAACTAATGTCGATTGAGTGTAATTATGCAAGGTGAAATTAATCTCAACTTAATATCTCCTTTTTTTATTATAAAATGTATGTCTGAGAATAATGTGGTCTAATATACAATCTAGCTGCATTAAGAATACAAGGATTGCTTCTATTTTATAAGAAATTTATAGAATTTTATTCGTTGTGATTAAAAAATTAAGTAAAAAAATTGTACGTGTATAATAGCTACCAAAGTTATTTTTTTTTAGTCTCTCGGACCTTCTCAGTTTAACACAAATTATCCTACAGTATGACTTACTGTAATAAATGCATAAATCATCCTTTCACAACGTGATTGTGACGCGACTTTACAACAGATGTATAACGGTTTTATAATTATGCGTATTGTGTTTTAATTCTTTTAATATTTGATTTTTTTTGTATTTTTACTGAAAATGGTCTAGTAACAGACCGAAACGTCTGTAGATTAATTTTATCACAAATGCAAGTTTTTCAACGCTAACACCTTGTTACAGTTCTATGCTCCTTATTTTCTCAATTGATTTATTAATCGCCTGAGCCTTTAATATTTTTTTTTTTTTTACTTATTGCTCACATCCAATTGGAGCAAGTCATATAATTTTAAAAATAAATCGAGCCTGCTGATCTGTAACGTAGAATCTGTATATCATTTCTTTTTATTTCATTAAGAAATTGCAAATTACAATTCACATCGACTCGTGCATTCTGAAGATATTCTCTACGATTTAATAAAAATAAATAACACGTCTAAACATTATTCGCTGCTGACGATGATGGCTGATAGCAGAAGTATAAAACTAACTTGATTGCTCAAAGACCGGAGGTCACTTACTATTTGTGTTGCAATTGTACTCGAGATTGTTCTAAGCTCGTACACGTAATCAACGTTTGTGTCTAGTGGCCGAGGAAAGCGGGCCAAGATTCGAAAAAATTCTTTTTTTTTTTTACATTCTTGGCGAAATTTGAGCGTGTATCCTACGCTCGTTTTGCACTCGTTTTTACATTGACCTGTTTAAAATATCTAGTTTGATGAGATAAGAGAGCGGCTAATAACGATAGAAACGTGCTAGCTGGATCACTGGTCTCGTGTCTCATTACTCGACCGAGGACTCAGCTCAGCCTGCTCAGCTCCGTTTTGCTCTCGCCGCGGGTTGCGTTGCATCACGCGTAACTCGCGTGCGACGTGAGGGTCCGGAGCAAGTAAGAAAAGAGGTTAGGTAGTCTCGTGCACGGTCTCGCACGGCGATCGCGGAAACAAAGAAGAAATGGCAAGATTAATCGTCCAGATCAGCAGATGCGCGGCAAAAACGTTCGTCTCGCACGGCGATTTCCTCGGCACAGCCGTCAAGTCGAAGATACCAATTCTCGCCGTGGCACGATCCATAACCACAACTCGGAACTTGAGAATCGGTGAGTGCGCGTGAAAATTAAGCCCGGGATCACCGGCTAGGGTTTTTAAAGGTCGCCGACACGACAGTTTGCGAAAACTATGACAGGAAGAAATGATTTGGTCGTTGAGTACTATCTATTGCGAGTTTTCTCCGCTTCTTTTTGATAAGTTTGTCTGGATTGACCTTTCGATGAGGAATCAATGTTGGTTGTATGTTGTATGTACACGCGCGCGCGCACGCATATACCGTGCGTACCAAAAGTTCCGGAACGCCCAATCATCTCAGAAAGTACTTATTGGTTTATTGGAAAAATGTTTCAGATAAAAGTTGGAGGGTCAAAGAAACCTGATATTTTTTTATTATTGCAATTGTTTGGGAAACGTTTGGGCAAATTTAGGAATATATTCTCATAGTTTAGGAAATAATATAGTTAATTATTTATAATTTAATAAAAATTAAGCGTATTATTAATTGAGCGTATAGTTAGCAGACATAATTTTAAAAACATTTTTTTTTTAATCAATGTGAAATCATTTGGGTACCACGTCTGTAATTTTTGCAATGTTTGGGATTAAATAATGATCGGTAAGTGTGAAGAACATAGTGACTTGCTCACTGATTTGGCTGAAACTTAACATTATTGTATATTTTGGCGTGTTAAGGGGAT